CCTTCCTGTTGATTATATCCTTTCGCCACAAGGCGAGCCTTATACCTCTCTATTGAGCCATCAGCCTTACGCTTTATTTTGAGAACCCACTTGTTCCCAATGGCTTTGCGTCCTTTTGGAAGGTCAACCAATTCCCAAACTTGGTTTGATCTTAATGACTCCATTTCCTCTTCCATTGCATGTATCCATTTTTCCTTATCAGGGCATTTTAGAGCGTCGTTCACATTCTTTGGCTCATCTTCATCTTGTGGGGCGATCATGAAAGTTTCTCCTTCAATGTCAAAACGTCGACGGGGAATCCTATTACGACTTGACTGTCGTATGGAATGCTGTACTCCTGATGATTCACCCCATTCCATTGCGCTCCTACTCGAATTAGATAATGGTGGTGTCGTCTCTTTAAGTGGTTACAATTGAGACTGGGTTGCATTCAACTCTCCATTTGTCACAATGCTCCCACTAACTTCACTATCACGATCCACAGATTCGTATAGTGAGTAATCTCCACCTACTTCGCCCTTTTTAGGAAATTCATTCTCTAAGAATGTGACATCCCGTGATTCAAATTCAGTTATACTTCCGCTTTCTTACTCACCTATGAATACATATCCTTTTGAGTGCTCTGAGTATCTTATAAAAATACTCTTTTTGCCTCTTGGGCCTAATTTTCCATACTTGTGAGAAGACTCACGAGTATAGGTAGCACAACCCCAAGGTTAAGTATGTAGACAGCAGTCAACAAAGCATCACCCCAAAAAGTGATGGGCAAGTTAGCTTGTGCCATCATTGACCTAACCATTTCCATTAAGGTTCTGTTTCTTCTTTCCGTAACACCATTTTGTTGAGGAGTATGTGGAATAGTCAGTTGTCTTTCTATTCCCTTTTCATCACATAAATTTCTGAACTGATCAGACAGATATTCTCGACCATGATCAGATCTTAATGCTTTTATTTTCTTATCTAATTGATTTTCCACTAAGCTCATAAATCTTTTAAAGCAATTTAAAGCCTTGGACTTATGAGAAATCAAATCGACATGTCCGAATTGAGTATAATCATCAATGAATATGATGAAATAAATAGACCCATGCCTTGCTTTTACATTCATTGGACCGCAGATGTCAGTATGGATTAATTGCAAAGGAAATTCAGCTCTTGTTCCTTTTCCAAATGGTTTTCGCGTTGTTTTTCCTTCTAGGCAATGCTCACATATGGGCAAATCAACCTTTTTAATATTGCCCATTAAGCCATCTTTAGCTAATCGATTCATTCTTTGTTGGCCAATATGACCAAGTCTAGCATGCCACACGTTCACATCATTCTCATAAGAATCAGATGATGTAAATAAGGAATAACTAACATTAACTTCACAATAGTTAACATCTAATACAATGAAACCATCTAAAAAATATCCGGAACCATAATAACTTGTACCTAAAGACAAGTCTACACCATTGTTATGGAAGTTTACATTAAAACCAAGTCTAACTAAGACCAACACCGAAACTAAGTTCCGACGAATCTCCGGAGTAAATAGCACATCATGTAGGAATAATGTGCGTCCACCGCGCATAAGTAGTTGACAGGTGCCAATGCCTCTGACCTCTACTCTTGAATTGTTCCCCACGTATATCCACTTCGTTCCTTGTGGAATTCGTCGAAACTCCACGAAAGCTTCTCTGTCCTTCGCTACATGGTCTGTGGCTCCCGAGTCTACAATCCACAAAGGATTAGATTCGGTTAGAAACACTGAACTAGACACATAAGTAGCATTTTCATAATGCTAAGGGTTTCTACCTTCTTTGGCTCGCCACAGTCGCGAGCAAAGTGACCCTTCTTGCCACAGTTGAAACATTTTACTCTTGAAATGTTCTTCTTAAAAGGACGCTTTCCTTTCTCCCGTTGGTTGTGCCTCGGTTTCTTCCCTGAAATACTTGCTCCCTTGCCTTTCCACTTCTTTGACCCAGCAGGGTGCTTCCTCTTGGAGCCCGAAACTCCATGCGAGCTAGAACCAGCAAAGTAAATATCAGTTTCTGGCTTAGCCGCCATGAGGCGATCCTCTTCTAGCTCAAGATGCCGCATAGCATCCTCGAAGGTCTTGATACCCTCATTATGGGTCAAATGGATCTTCATGTGCTCCCAGCTGTAAGGCAAGGAGCGGATTACTGCCTGCACTTGCTGTTCATCAGTGAGTATGTGCCTGGCATCCTTTAGCTCACTAATCATATTCGACATCTGCCTCAAATGTTGTTTCATGGTCTTTCCATGAGACATCTTGTATGAGTCGAAACGGATAGTGAGTTGTCTCAGTTTGGTCACAGAAGTTTGACCAAATCTTGATGCCAGTGCAGCCCACATGTCTTTGGCGTTCTGGAAACGTCCGAACTCTCGCATGATGTCATTGTCCATGCTGCTTAGCAACGTAATGCAAGCAAGGGAGTTCTTTCTTTTCCAAACAGCAAAGGCATCTTTATCCCTTTTGTGTTGGGCAGTTGTCCCATCCTCAGGTTCTTCCATAATCTGGTTAAGAGCTTCGAGTGCCTCTTGCTCTTCCAGCACATATTGAATCTTGAGACTCCAAATCTCATAATTATCGCCATTCAATTTTTCTCCCTTATTAAGTTCAGCCACTATGTTCTTAGTTGCTGAAGCCATCGTATCTGAACATTTCAGACACATACGCACGAATTATTAAAGCCTATCTAAATGCTTCATCAGCATCATGATTACATAAACTAATCATATTAATGAATAGTTTCACAAAAGGTCTTAGAGTTGAAAGTTCACTATGTTCCCAATCATCGTCTAAAAAACCTAATTTGAAATTATCATTAACATAATCATTTATGTAAAGAAATTGGTTCTTCAAAAGTTATACAAACTTTTAAGAACTTCCCACATATAACATAACACATAATATGGAAATATAAAATGAGAAATCACAAAAATTCATAGCCATATATATATTTCATAACACATTCACAAATGTTTAAGAACATATAATATCAACTTGAAACATATACAGAATTGATTCTAAATCCTAAAAGAACAACATCACATGTACCAATCCAACACATAAACAGGAAATTACTCATAAAATTCTTTAGAAAATTCTATTTTCTTTGGAACATAAACAGAGGCTCCCGAAAAATCCCTAGATCCGGGCCATGGTTTGCGTCGAGACCCATTCAATGCAAGGGTTGATGTTCTCCTTGTCCCGACCCTTATGTATTCTTGCAGAAAATTCTCCACAAGTATTTTATAGCTTGGACCCTTTAAGGTTTCTTTAACCTTATCAAGCATTCTTCCCAACTCCTCAGGAATAATGCATTTTAGGTCTCCGACCATTACTTATTCCGGCATTACAAAACCGTTCCAAATGATATCCTGTATCATTTTGTTGACCTTGATGATGTGTGTCATCATATCATCCCCAGCGTCCCATCGATAAAGAGCTAGCTTGATTCTTAGGTTCTCAAGCTTATCCTTTTGAGCTGCCGTTCTTGGGATTATCGGAGTACGTCTCAAATGTACCATTGTTCCTGCAACGAATGCAGAACAAAGGATTACTTATAATTCATGATACATTAAGATAATGATTGCTTATTTATATACATATGATTTAGCACTTGTATTTAAAAAAAAACTATAGAGAAATACTAGAGAAAATGCCAAAGAATATACCCCTAAGTACGTGTACATAGGGTTTATCGTGTATTTTCACATTCATAAGTGCAACAAACATGTAATATGAATATACCATTACGTAGAGCATTCCGATACGAGCACGTCGATACCAAGAACGCCCAAATCGGAGTTCAAATGAGCTCGAACGGGCCGAAAGAAATAATTGGGTCATTCTGCCCGGTTTGAACCGATCCGGTTCGACCGGTCCGACCGTTGACCGGTCAACGGTCAACCGGGTCGGTCAACGGTCAACCGGGTCGGGTCAACGGTCAAACGGGTCGGGTCTCGGGTCCGCTTCCGATGACGTCACGCTGACGTCATCGTCGGCGGTTAGGCGGCGACCGACGCGCCGTTTTGGACCGCCGCGCGTGGTCCTCACGCGCTGTTGCACGCACAGCCCTTGTCGGCGCGTGAGGGCGCGTGCAGCATCCTCCGGCGACGCGTCGCCCATCATTTTGCTCGTCTGGACGAGCACTTTCTGTTTATGCAATAAAATTCAAGTTTTGACAAAAAAAAAATCAAAACATGCATGAACAGTTCGGCGACGCAAAGAAAACGAACAAAAACGATGGCGAAACGGAAAAACAAGCAGTATACACTTCAATGGTAGAGACGATACACATGCATGATCGGAAAAGAAGTAAACGGGCTCTGATACCAATGTTGGGAAAAACTTAATCTCCGATCGACACATTCGAAACATATTTGGAACGAATTCAATCAATGCGGAAAACGTGCCCGAGGACCATCAACTTGTATCATCGATCGTACATGCATATCACATAACGAACATATCCCGTATTGTCACAGATTAAGTGCCACTTTGCGCTTGAGAGTTCTTTGATCGTCTTTCATACTCGTTTGCGTTTCGAAGCAAAAGCAGAGAAAGCGTTATGTTCGAAGGAGTGTGTTTGCATATGGAAAAATCACGTTTTTTTTTCCAAGGGGTGCCTTCTATTATAGTGATAGGCAAATAACTACCTTGTGGGCTCTTGTGGCTCATGGCCCATCTTGGGCGGTCCACCCATTATTTCTTTCAAGGAGCAAATTAAGGAATACCAACAAAATAGAAAGATGATTTCCCTTGAATTTATTGATGACAATACAATACACCATTCTGAAAATACTCAGAACAACAAAACGACCTCAAGAACTTGCCATGGGGCAAGCCTGAGGTCCCTTAATCAGAAGTTTAGATGATAAACCCCAGATTAAATATGAAAAACCATGAAGAGACACACACCCTTTAGGAGACACCATAAGATCGATAATCTTTTGGTAGTAGATGGTGATAACCACGCACGTGTGCGTTCTTAGCAAGCATTAGGGTTGGCCAAGAGATAACCCTCGAGAGCCTTGAACACGCCCAAGACCTTTTCCTTGCCATCCTTGATTTGCTCCTCGGTGAACTGGATGTCGCCGATGGCGTAGTACCTGCTGGTGTTCTTGCATATCGACCCTCCGTTGGGGCCGGCCTCGATCTTGACGTCATGCGAGATTTTCTCGAATATGTTCATCAGGGCGTCGCCCTCGATCCAGCTGTAGCTGTATGTTAACTTCTCCTTGTCCAGAGCATCGACCCTGTGTTTTGCATACTTGAATTGACTAGCTGCAATCGCAATCAATTGATCGAATGTAAGAAAATGTTACTTGCTCAAAGATTGATGATGAGCCAAAATTGGTTGTATGCAAATTGTGATAACAATTCACAAGAAGCTTTGGAACGGATGGTGTTGTAATGTTAGAAAAGTTTTCCGCGGTCAACTCTCGAAAATAAATACTACATTAGTAGGCTCTCTATTCATTTTTGAAAATTACTTTGAACTATCATCCATTAGTGATCTCTTTATGACTCGTGATTTTTGTAATTTTATGAAATCATTGTGAACTGATCCAAGAACTTAATTAATCTACTAAACGAAGGTGTACTGTTAAAATCGATTACTTTAACATAAACTCCTTTTCTAATGAAACATTAAAATAACCATATGGATAATCCAATACATGTATGGAGATCATTTGTAAGTTCTTAACCTTCTCCAAAGGTAATGTTCTTGATGGTTCCGGGCCCTCCGTCGCCTTCGACGATCTCCACGCTTTGGAAGACTTGAGGGAGGATCTTCGGATATATCTTGTCTCCGTCGACAACAAACGCATGGAACATCTTGGCAGGCGGAATCGTGGCGGAGATCTCCATGTCATAAGTGATGAGACCCATATTCTAATGAGCGTTTTCGATGATAAAAACAGGAAAAATCGGAGAGCTAGAGCCTTTCTTTTTTTTTTTTTTTTTCCGGATTTGGATCGAGCACTGAGCTTCTTGAGATGGTGCATTTCGAGTGAAGAAGATGAAGGTATTTATAGATTGGTCATGAAGGTGATCGTGCAAGTTAGTGTCCTCCATGGATACATGTGAGATCGAGAGTAGGTGTGTCTCTAATTTTTTTAAACAGTTTTGAATGGTTCTAACATGATGGAGTAGGCATTATCTTTTATTTTTTAACGGATTGCTTGTTTTGGATTTCTGATTTTCATGAGTCAAAGTATTCATCCTATGAAGTTGCATTAGCTCTTTTTAAAATAACTATGAGGGAACCAACCGATCAAATTTATAATTTTTAGGAGAAACTGTATGATGACATGACATCAAAATTATCTCGAACTTTAATTGGGAAACAAAATAGAAATTTGACTTTGTCAGGGTAGTTGGATCGGTGATTTCATCTAGTCAGAAACATGTATACAATCTTCCAAGGATTGACAAGAAGAAAAAACACAATATTTTAAAGGAAAAAGGGATTGGTAGCATCTCTGCAAAAAGAAGAGTTCATTTTTTTTTCCACCGATCAAGTTAATTTAAACGATTCATATTGTTGCCAAAAAAAAAAAAAAACAAGCGATCAAACACAATAGTGAGCAGAACAAGCAAATAAATCGGACTTCGGATTTGCCTAGTTTGATCTATGGGACCTACTCCATGAAGAGAGTAGCACATGATTCGCTATTAATCAAGCGATTTAACAAAAATTACAATCATACTCGAGTCGCTTAAGTATTTTCAGTTGTTCTCAGCCCCCGATTACACCTAATAACTTGCACAATGTTTAGCTCTCATAATTCCTCGCGAAATAATATCTCAATCTCACAAAAAAATTCACAAATCTTACCACAAGAGTTGTTGACTTGAATACCAAAAGCTCCTCGTTGATGAAATTCAAGAAGAAAACTTACTTCTTATATAAAAAAAAAAGTTTTGGGTCTAAATAGCAAAACCCCTTTTGGAAAACCTACTCAAATTAAGAAATCACTCAAACTAGGAAATCTACTTGAATTGTGTTTCCTTTACGAGTTCAAATGGGAAAAGTACAAAAAAAGTCAAAAATATATTGTATTGGTACCAATTTAGTCCTAAAATTTTCAATTGGATCAATTTAATCCTAAACCTTTTCATATTGCTACTAATTCAGTCTATTTGGCCAATTTAGGCAGGAAATTGCCGACATGGATACCGGACGTCCTATGTGGCATGGCCGATGCTGACGTGGACAAATTTTTTTCTATAATTTTAAATAATTTTTTGCATTTTTTATTAATTTTATTAATTTTTTCCTTTCCTTTTTTTTGTCTTTTCTAGTTCGTGAGGGTCGAACCCTCACTAGATTTGACGAGGGCCATGACGCCCTCGCCGACCCTCGCCTGTGGCCGGTCACTGGCCACAGGTCAAAGGAAGACAAGGAAGAAAAGGAAAGAAAAAAAGAAAAGGAAAAAAAAAGAAAAAGGGTAAAAATTAACAAAAAATTCGAAAAATTATTAAAAAATTATCTACATTAGCACCGGCCATGCTACGTAGGACATCCGGCGTCTATGTCAGCAATTTTCGGCCTAAATTGGCTGGATGACTGAATTGGTATGAATGTGAAAGGCTTAGGACTAAATTAGTCCAATTGAAATGTTTGGGACTGAATTGGTACCAATACAATAGGATTCGGACTTTTTTGGTACTTTTCCCGGGTTGAAACACAAAACATATTCTCAACACACATAGCTACAATAGAGTTAAGACAAATTAGGGGAGTCAAGATAATGCATGCGTTGAATTCGAATTTGGCGAAAATTGGTCTAAGCACGTTCATCATTTCAACTAGCAAACAATCCCATTCCATGTTCCAATTTGAGATTCATCCTTAATTATAGTAGTTAATAGTACATTATCATCTAATTCTACGCATTACTTTCTTAAGCAAGTTATAAAAAATGTTTTCTTGCGATAATGTCCTGTGGTGTCGACATTGACCTATGGATATTTGTTACTGTCGTCTCATTTCGCAAGTAATCCTCATTATTAGTGCCAGCTATTTCATGGACCTTCTTCATCATTAGTAGAACAATAATGATTTTCTCTTGCTTCCGTCCCTAATACTCTTGTTTGTGCGTCCCCTTTGTTCAATTTTTCACCTTTGAATAATCCGGTTCATTAAAAGAGCGATTTTAGTACCAACCATAGTGTGATCCAACGTCGATATCATGTTAGTAAAAGCAATGTTGATGGAGCAACCTCAAACCGCACCAATTTATAACAAATTAAAACATTATGTGACTATTCCTCAAGTAACATGAAGTTAGTTCTTTAACTGGTTGACGTACTAAAATATTAATAATACTAGTATTAGCTGGGGGCCATGTTTAAGGTTCTTCTCTAAATGATTGTGAACCTAAAGATTAAAAAATGGCCGACCCATATGCATTATGGGTTGACTTTTGACCTGTTCCATGCATGAACTGATTCTGAAAGTTTCCAGCCATTCCATAGGGAGATAACATGTGCTTCTGACGGAGGAATTTAGTGGGGGAGAGATCTTTAGCATATTCGATTTGAAGATTAATTTATGTGAAAAACTTCTGCACGATCAATAATATAACATAAGAAGAATAAAATGTGTTTTGGATTTTGATTGATAAAGAGCATTATTGGATTTAAATCTTATTATTAAATAATGTTGATTGTTGGAGTCTTGATGTATGTTATGAGTTTCTCCTTTCTTGAAGACACCTAAAACTAATATCTATGGTATTATTTACTAAAAATAAAAATCAATCTCTTTAGCAATCTTGAATTCTTACTTCATGTTATAAATGATCCTATGAAAGAGATACATGTTTCCTGTCTAACCACTAGTCACAACAAGATATTTAAAGTAATGTTTGGTTGACGTAATTATAAGCAAATAATCGAAATGGTTTATGATCGACTTGTATAAGAAGAAAAAAGTATAAAATGGAATATGTTTTGACAAAATATGATAGGGAAAATTACATAAATCATAGTCAACTTTACTTTTCATATCAATTGCTCTCCTTACATTTCAAAACCTACATTTATTATCCCTACTTCTGCATTGAATCTCAATTTGCATCTACCACCCACACATAATTTACCAAGTTGTCATTTTATTTCCCAAATTACCCCACCAAAACCTAAAATATATAGCTATATATTCTCCCGTAACTCGACAGACTCAAACCATAAGCTGACCATTGGTCTCCCTCTCTCCACCGTGTGGGTCACCATTGCTCCTCTGTAGGCCATCATGAACGTTCGCCGACCTCAAATATCAGGCGGGTAACGGTTGCAAACTCGAGGCTAGATCGAGGTTGCTGGTGGCCATGGCCGAGCTCCACTGCAAAGCTCATGAGCTCTCTTGTACGCAGCCCTTGCAAGCTCGAGGGCAACCTAGTATGGCAGCCCTAATGACTGTGAGCTTGAGGGAAAGTTTGCCACAACGGAGAAAAAGGCAAGGAGAAGGTCGATGGGAAGGACAAGGTCGTCGGCAACTGAACTGTGAAGTGGTGACAAGGTCAGTATTGGGCAGTGACGCGTTGTTGTGGGTGGGGCTCAGCTAGCATGCGTGAGGAGAGAGAAAAGGCATGGAAAGAAAGAGAGAGACAGTGGGAGAGGGTCTTTGGTGTACATTTAGATTGCGCAAAGAGCGAATGGGTCCTTTTAGATCGGGGGAGATGCAAATTGTAGGTTTTGAAATGTGGAGATGGTATTTGATTTAAGAATCAAAGTTGAACATGATTGTTGCAATTGTCCCATAATAATAAAAACAATGGTTAGGGAAGAGAAGACCAATTTTGAGATTTTTAATTTTAGAGCTTTGGGTTTGTTATATTTAAAAAAAATTTGGACAAAAATGGCCTTGTTCCGACCCCTAAAAAAAATCACATGCTCGCCGGCCGACGAACATTTGACCAGCTGGTGAGCTCAGGCCCTTATTCGAGACTAACTTGGACACTTCAGGCTCTTATTTGAAATGAGGTTTAGTCTGAACTCTCTTAGAAAATGAGGGTATTTCAAGTTTTTATCTGGAATTTTCCTTAAAAAAACAACGGGTGTGATTCAAGGGGCTGCTGCATTAGCCAGCCCATTTGATTTTTTTGGAACCAAGCCCCAACAGCACTATATATAACGGGCCTTTTGGGCCTTTATGTAATTAATGGCATGAGGCATGAGACTCCATCTACACTGGCATTTTCCCTCAAAAGAATGGACATTTGGTACTTGCAGAAAAGTTAAGATTTAGATAGAGATCGCCCGCGAAGGATGGAGCATCAATCGGTTTGGGTCAGCGGCGATATTCGAGTCCTCGTCAGCGGCGGCTGACCCACGACAGTGTTGCGCTTACTTTCATTCCCTCGATCAAGATTAGAGAGTCTCGTGCATTGACTTCAAAAGCCCAACGGACTTGTGACACTGAAAGCCCAATATGTTGGGCCAATCCTAGCTCGAAGAACCAAGCAGTTGCAATAACAAGCGTAGCTAGGAAAATGAATTTCCAAATAAGCCCTCGGAATGAGTGAGAATTCCAATCAGGAACCGAGGACCATGAAAGCTGGATCCACACACAAGGGGACCATTTTGGCGTCAATTGTGTTGTCTACCATATTTGATGGAATTGACTAGATATTTAGCACCTCATTTAATGCTCTCAATTTGCATGGATGGACTTTTCTTGGCAGCCTCCCATACGGGAGAAGTTATTGGGTGCGCCCGGTAACGATGGTCCAATTCACACCATTTGTTGGATTACGGGGATCCCCGTGTGGGAATTCACGAGATCCAACGGATCGTATGAACTGGGTTGTGTGCTCCGGATGCCACTAATAATTTCCCACCTGTTGTCCCATTTATGGTATACATGCTTCATTATTGCTTTTAGTTTCTCGATGTCAGTATTCTCTGACCTTACCCCACCACGTGCCCATCCCTAAATTCCAAGATTTGGGGCCATTCGCATCAATTACCATACACCCTGTACCATGTGCAAGGTATTATGTTGAAAGATTCAAGGTGCCCCGTACAATATTTAAACAAATATATACGGACTGAGCAATTTATTATTTTCTCTTTCTTTACAGATTTATCATATTTAAATATGTGAAATGATTGGGGGAAGCACGCATTACATTATATTTTCGATGTTATTATGTCTAGGACTATGCTAATATTAGATATGTACATATACCTTATTTTGAATACTCTTGTATTTTTGCGTTGAATGTTGAATATGTCACTTGCTGTACATATACCCAAAGTGTCATAGTACGTAGACACTTGAAGAATATCTATTATATATAACGACAGCTTGTATGGAAGTTAAATATGTGTAGGACGGGTAAAAGGGGATTACATAATTACTATTTTATATTTCAAAGTTTCAATAAATGTTGACTTGTTCAATTCTTAAGCAATCAAGAACAGTGGTTGATCTGTTGTCGTTTTACTTCTGGACCTGTGATGGGTCCATCCGTAGCGAAATCAATGGATACATCTTGAGCTGGATGATATGTTGATTTGGGTGATCGGGACATCAATTAAGAAGTACATTTGCAAAAAGAAATTCTAACGAATATGCCGAGCACCATGTAGTGCGAATTCTGAGATGGCCAGAGGCCAACTTGTTTATGTCATTTCTTATTATTTGAATCCTGTCAAGCTCAAGAACATTGAGGATAAGGGAAAGAGATCATTATGAACGATATCTTGTGATTTATTTATTTAGATTATTTGCCACTACTTATTTCAAAAGATCTAAAACTATTGGAAATTCATATTAGACGGTGACATCATTTTCTCATAAGATAGGAAACACGAAAATGGACACGTGAAGAGTCAGTCAATCATGAGAACTCTCTTCACTCCGATATGATATTAGATCAAGTTACTCGTAGTACATCAACCCATTTCCATGGGAATTTATTCAATCACACTCATAACTACAATACAACACACTTGCATATCCCTTATAGCGACAGATAAAGGGGAAATTGGGGCAAATTGACGCATGACGGAAACGGCACAAGATGTTGTGATTTAAGCATACACATCGGGGTTTGCCAACAGGTACTCTTCAACAACTTTGTAGAGTCCCATAGCCTTTTCTTTGCCTTGTTTGATTTCTTCTTCCTTGAGCTCCACATCCCCCTTAGTGTGGTATTCACTCGTCATCTTACAAACGCATCCACCGTTGCCCGAAGCCAAGAATTTAACCTCATAGACGACCAATTCGATCTTCTCGAAGATCACATCACCTTCGATCAGAGTGTACTTACAAACCAGATTCTCGGTGTCAAGAGCGTCAATTCTGTGCTTAAGGAACTTCAAGTGACCACCTATAATCCCATGGAAAAACCACATAACGTTATACAAGATGTACACAAAAAGAGAGACATTCATATGATTGTGAAATGAATGGGACTCTCAAAGCATCATTTGATATGTAAACTAACCTTCGGCGAAGTTGGTGACCTTGATGCTTCCGGCTCCTCCATCTCCTTCAACGAACTCGATGCTCTTGATACCCTGAGGGGCAATCTTGGGAATTAGGTTGTGTGAATCAAGAATCAAAGCCTTGAACATTCTTGATGGAGCAACGGGGGTTGTGAATTCTTGGGCATATGTGGTGACACCCATGTTTTGGTCTTGGAAGAGGAAAGAGAATTGAACTAGAGATTTGGAGAGAATATGAAGAACTATGTGTGACTGCTTCTTACTAGTTCAGGAACTTGAGCTTGATGAAGAAGATGAAGAACCAGAGTGCTATTTATAGACTCTTGAAAGGGGGCTTAGCTAACCACTGGGGTTGCCCTAGTGAAAAATGTCCGGAGCACTCCATGGTGGACTGACTAAGACTTTTGTTCTTCTTCTTTTTCTTGGTTTAAAATTAATGTTTTGAATGTCTCCACTTCACACCGTGGGCCCTCCATTGTCTGGAGTGTGGAAAGGGGAGAGAAATAGCCCTTGCCAGCGACTTGGACCAAATTGTCGACTTAAGTAAGTAATACGTTATGCGAAGTTCTTGGGTTCCAATAGGCAAAATGGTGTTAATTTCATTTTGAGACCGAGAAATATTTATTTCGATGAATTATGGAATTAAAGTCACTCGTAAAAAGTCGAATGAAATTTCATGTATACAATAAGATTAGAGTAGATAGAGTACCGGTGGGTGATTTGTGCTAAACATCCATTTAATAATTGAGGTCTTGTTAAGAAAATGGAGATGGTAAATGGACAATGAGCCCATGCCAATAAAAGTGGTTGATCTTAATCACTTGATTAAGACTCTATTTAAATAAAAGTTTAACTTTCCGACCAAAAAGAAGCTTCACTTTTGAGATTAACCAACCTCTAGAAAGGTTGACCACAAGTCAATGTAAGGAAAAATAACGCATCTTCTCTATCCTTGTCCTTTTAGCTACCGCATGCAAGTGAAATTTAATTAACCTGGGCCTTCGTTGAAACTTGATTAATTGGTTTGATTTATTTTATTCTTAGATCAATGTAAAAGCCTACCGACAAGCTGCAAATGAAAATAATTGATACCTTATCTGAATATTCTCTTCCCTCAGTTAAACAAATCGTAAGGAATATAGTACTTGTCATAGATTGTCTCTTTTTGTTGGTCAGTTTATAGATTAAATCTTATGAATAACAGTTGCTTAACATAAAAAAAAATCAGTTTTAAACGAGGGATTTGAGCAATTTTGGGAATTATATTCAAATTAATGCAAATTTGAGATATGATATGATAGATGTTTATGCTGTCTCTTTTAAATAACTATTTTTTTATTTTTATTACATATTAAATTCACTATATATGTATGTATGGGTTTTACTGGAACTTTTTGGGGAAAAAAGTGAGAGGCTGAACTTCCTTTGAATTTGCTAGAATGTTTAGAGAGAGTTTATTTTGTAGCAGTTTAGGTTTTTAAATGAATTGGTGGTCCCACTACTGTCTTGAAAGGGTAAACTCCATATGAGGTTTTACATAGTCAGTCATCGAATCTCACTCAACTTCAAGTCTTCGGTTGCTTGTGTTTTGGGTGCAATACCTCCATTCAAAATAAATTTGATGCCCGTGCTACTCCAAGGGTTTTTTTGGTGATATCCCAATAGTCAAAAAGGGTATCTCATTTTTTATCTCCTCACCGAAAAGCTACATGCGAGTCGAGATGTTGTGTTTTACGAAACAATTGTTCCTTTCTCGGTCCTCCCCGACCCTACCTAGGGTCGCCTGTATTACCGTTACCTGTCACCCAATGTGACAAGATAACCCAACCCCCACGTTCAAACCCCACACCACCACACCCAATCCCCACACCACCATCACCTCAACAATCCACTAGACCCCAATAGACACGTCAATCTCCCACCTCTAGGACTATTATTGTTCGCTTACTCGAGCACTAAGTTCCGCCGAAAATAATGATCCAGGTATCTCTTACCCTATGCCTAATATTCTCAAATATAGTCATTTAAAATAATCCCATTTGGAATTTCTTACTTTCTTTGTCTACTACTACTAAGCCATCCACTTTCACTGAGGCAATGTGGCATCGGGAATGGAGAGACGCAATGCAGGCTGAAATCAAAGCTTTTTCTCAGAATCATGCATGGTCTCCCATAACACTTCCGCCTGGCAAGAAGGCCACAGGCTCCAAGTGGGTCTATAAAATTAAATGAAAATCTGATGGCAATATTAAACAATATAAGGCCTGCCTAGTCACCAAAGGCTATACCTAGGTTGAAGGGAAAGACTATCATGATGCCTTTGCACCTGTTGCCAAATTGGTTACAGTCTGTGTACTTTTGGCCGTTGCTATAGCTAAGGGATGGTCTCTTGAACAAGTGGATGTTTATAACTCCTTCTTACATGGCGACTTGGATGAGGAAGTCTATATGAAACCTTCCTCTGGTTTTTGGCGTAAGGGGGAGAATCTTGTGTGTTGACTTCACGAATCTCTACATGGCTTGAAACAAGTATCCCATCAATGGTATTCTACGTATTATTTTGTCTTATGTGACTTCAGTTTTACATATTCTCAGACCAATCATTCTCTCTTTGTCTTACACAATGGTAGTGACGCTGTGTTTGTGGTACTGTATGCCGATAATCTAGTCATTACTAGTACTAATGCTTCTTTGATAGATTTAGTGAAGACTATGTTACACAATTAGTTTCACATTAAGGACCTCAGGCCTCTAAAATATTGTTTGGGTATTGAGGTGGCTCGATCCCACTTTGGTCCTTATTTATACCAGCGAAAATATATCCTGGATATTCTAGAAAATTGTGGTTTTAGTGGAGCTCGGCCAACTAATACTCCCATGCAACAGAATATAAAATTGAGCATTGATACATGCACTCTACTGGAGGATCCATCTATCTATCGATGCTTGATTGATCGGTTCATTTATTTAACTATTACTAGCTCAGACATTGCTTATAGTGTCAACATCCTGAGTCAATTTATGCATGCACCACGCCAACCACATTTGGAGGCAGCACACCGTCTTCAATGGTATCTGAAGGCTATTATAGGCCAGGGGCCCTTTTACCCAGTTAAAAATGGACTCCAACTCATGGATTATTGTTACTCAGATTGGGTTAATTGCCCCATGACTCGCCGTTCATTAACTGGGTATTACATTTTATTGGGTGATAGCCTCATTTCTTGGAAAACCAAGAAACAAAGAACGGTCTCACACTCTTCTGCTGAAGTGGAATATCATGCATTGGCAATAACTACATGCGAAATTACCTAGTTATCATACCTCTTACAAGACATTGGCACGCCTCTCCAAGCCCTAATTTTCCTTACACTGTGATAACCAGGCTGCCCTCCACATTGCTACCAATCCAGTTTTTCATGAGTAAACGAAACACATTGAAATTGATTGCCATCTCGTTCGTGAAAAAATACAACCCGGCCTCATTGCTCCATTGAAGATTGGTACATAGTCACAACTAGCTAACGTGTTTACCAAACTACTATGCCGAGATCAGTACCTGTGGCTACATTCCAAGTTGCGCGTCTATAACCTACACATGCCAACTTGAGGGGGAGTCTTAGCGTGATCATATGCCACCATGTCATTCTTATCCCATGAGTTGTTTTATTCAATCTTTCGGTTGTACCTATCATAACTATAGGAGTAGATTTAAGAAATATAGTTGTGAATGGTGTATAAATATGTACATTGAGAATACAAGAAAGATCGAATTGGCTCACATTGGGATCTTCCATTTTGTGTCCTTTCTCATTAGTGTTTAGACACTTAAAAACATTACTAAAGTAAATTATATCTCGGGAGGCCAACTATATATCAATAGAAAAAAAACAGCATAAATGATAAATGTGCTACTTTAAATTACATAAGATCGCATTGATTAGTCTGCCATTTCGGACCTCATTAAAAAAATGGGCTGAGAACCCATAATTTTGGCATGCGATGGTTTATGAAGTCTCACAGAAAGATCGCAATCACTCATGTTGGGAAGATGACAAGAAACCACTTCGCATCGATTAGTCTGTCAATCTCACCTTGTATCTGTAGGAGAGATAGAGGGTGCCTTCTGTGATATTTATGTAAATTTATATGCACTAGATAATTTATTATTTTCTCTTTCTTTATAGACTTTTCATATTTAAATCTGTGAATTGATGGGGAAGCACACCTATTTGTTGTTTGTATTACATTATGTCTAGCATTATGCTACTATTAGATAATGTACATGTACCTAATTGTGAATTCACTTACATTTTTATGTTGAATGTTGCATATGTCACTCATTAGAATTATAACATTATTTAATTAATAAAAATATAATAAGAATATAGGGTAGTATAGTGTACCTTGGAACTCACAAATTCCTAGTTCCTATGGTTTCAAAACCTTATATGATAAGTATTAAGAAGCATGTGTGAGTTATGTTAGAGAAATCCCACATAGGAGAATTGGTATGGTGTATAATAGTTAATATATCATAGTTGGTCCGTAACTCATTGGCTTAAGCTTTTGAGCGAATGTTGATTCAACTGGATATATTAACAGGTTTAAACTTGGGCTCCCTCTTGGCAATCTTTCAAGGCAAAAGGTATCGGGTTTTTGTTACGCGCTCCCAATAAATGATATCGAACCGATAGTAGATTGATGGGTCCCCAATCTATTCAAGTTGAGATATATTGATGTAGAAGGATACTTGGATTAAGAGAGAATAAACCTAACACTGAGCTCAAATGAGAGGGGGAGATTGTTAGGATATATGCATAAGTTATGTTACAGAAATCCTATATCGGAGAATTGATGTGGTATCATAACTTATTAGCTTAAGTTTTTGAGCGAATGTGGATCCAACTGGATATATTAACATGCTCGGTGATATGTTAACAAGTTCGGATTTGGTCTCGCTCTTGGTGAAAAGTATCGAGTTTCTGCTGCGCGCTCCCAACAATAAGTTTTAGGCTGCAAAAACTTAGAACATGTGCCTATAGGGTAGGTTCAAGGTTAGGGCAAGTATCCTACCCACCCTTGCACACTCATGATTAGCACCCAATGCATAATCCTTAGCACTAATTTTTCCCTGTGAAACTTCTAAGTTGTAACCCATTTAACGACCTGGCTATGATATCAAAAGGGGCCAATCCTCTGTACATCCTTCTTAATCCAAAGCGTCATAGCACATAGACACTAAAAAAACTTCAATCATACATAAAGACTGTTTAAACGCAAGTTACGATAAAAATAAACATGGATGACGATGGGTAAAAAGGGATTAATTCCCTTAAAATGATATTTTTCAACACATGTGGACTTGTTTAGTTCTTAAGTTCTCAACAACAGTGGTTGATCTGTGGTCGTTTTACTTCTGGGACCTGTGATGGGTCCATCACTGACTCAATCAATGGATAAATCTTGAGCCGGATGATTTGTTGATATGAATGATGGGGACATTATTTAAGATTACATCTGCAAAATTCTTCTGACAAATATGCCGAGCATCATCGTATAGTGCGAATGCTGAGATAGCCATTGACCAACTTGTTTATGTTACTTCTGGACATTGAGGATAAGAGAAAGAGATGTTTATTAATAATATCTAGCGATCTTTCTTTGAATGAAAATGACATTATACAGTCACATCACTCATAAAGCATTAACGATTCCAATGCAAATTTATTCAATCACACCCAAAATTACAATTCAATCACCCTCAGAATTACAATAGATCCCAGTTGCATATCCCTCATAGTGACAGATAAGGGAAGTAATGGAAAAACGACGTATGATGGAAACGGCACAAGAAGTTGCGATTTAAGCATACACATCGGGTTCGCCAACAGGTACTCTTCAACAACTTTGTAGAGTCCCATAGCCTTTTCTTTGCCTTGTTTGATATCTTCTTCCTTGAGTTCCACATCTCCCTTAGTGTGGTATTCACTGGTCATCTTACAGACACATCCACCATTGCCCGAAGCCAAGATCTGAACCCCGTAGACGACCTTTTCGATCTTGTCAAAGATCATGTCACCTTCGATTAGAGTGTACTTGCAGACTAGGTTCTCTGTATCGAGAGCATCGATTTTGCGCTTCAAGAACTTCAAGTGACCAGCCATGGTACCACATAAAAGTCAGATAACATTTTATAGGAGGTGCTCCAAATGGGACTTTTCGAGCATCATTTGATACAAAAACTAACCTTCGGCGAAGTTGGTGACCTTGATGCTTCCGGTTCCTCCATCTCCTTCGACGAACTCGATGCTCATGATACCCTGAGGGGCAATCTTGGGGATTAAGTTGTGGGAATCAAGAATCAAAGCCTTGAACATTCTCGATGGAGCAATGGGGGTGGTGAATTCTTGGGTAAATGTGGTGACACCCATGTTTTTGTCTTGGGAGAGGAAAGAGAATTGATCTAGAGATTTGGAGAAAACATGAAGGAATGTGTGCGAGTGCTTCTTACTTGTGCAAGGACTGTGTTTGATGTAGAAGATGGAAGAACCACGGTGCCATTTATAGATTCTTGAAATGCATTTTAGCTTTTAAGGCCTTCACATTAACATTAAGGGAGTTAGAAAGCACTCCATGGTGACCAACCAAGAATTTGTTTTGTTCCTCTTTTTCTGGTTTAAAAATTGATGTTTCCACTCCGTGCCGTGGACGCGCCATATTCTAGAGAGTCACAAGGGGAAAGAAATAGCCCTCGCCAGCGACTTGGACCGAATTGTCAACTTAACTAATACGTTAATCATGCGAAATTCTTGGAATGAAATAGGCAAGATGGTATGAATTTCATTTTCAGAACGAGATATATTTATTTCGATGAATTAAGAAACTGCTCCACGTAAAGGAGGAAAAAGATAAACAAGAAATTGGAATAAATTCACTTCTAAAAATTGGATGAAATACCATTCACTTAGGCGACTTCCGATTTAGGATTCGATGGCGAACGTAGAGAGGGCCCAAGTAATGGCGGTGACGATTAATTAGAGCGGTATTACGACCACGAGTACATGAAAGAGAACGAGCAAAGAGAAAGGAGGAACACGGAAGAAGGATAAAAGAGAGGAAGAGGAAAGGCAAAATGGAAAATGGAAAAAAGAAAATGAGAACACATCTCAGTCATCGAAATTTAATATGCTCATGGGTTCTTCTATTAATAGGGTTAATTTACGGCATAAATTTACCCTTTAAATATAGAAGATGGCAATCCTACGAAAGTTATAATTGAAGCCACAACACCACCTTTCAACAATTGAAATTGTTGTGAAAAATTGTACAAAACAATCAAGGTTGAGGCCTTATCAAGAAGATGGAGGAGCTTTCCTTGGATCTTTGATGTTCGATTAAGAGATAACTTTATGAAAGAAAAAGAGCTTTTGCTCCTACGAGGGTATCCGTAGCCTGTCCCCATCCTATGGGGCAGGCTCCACGGATGTGATCTTTATTTTAATATGATAGTACCAACACGCCTCGCACATCTAATTTTTATTGAATCTTTTTCTTTTTAGAAAGAGAGAATACCCTTTGAAAGCTTTACATCTCGATAATCTCGAAATCGAAACGAGAACCGAGATAAGACCTTTAAAGACATGTTTAGGTCGGAGGTCTTATCAAGAAGATGGACACGATAATTGGACAACGATCCTATGTCAATAAAAGTAGATGTTGATCGTTGCAATAAGACGTTTTTCAATTACAAGTTATTCAACTTTCCGACTATTAAAAAAACATTGCCTTATTATTCGAAATCAATTAACCTAATAATAGTTGACCACAAGTCAATGTGAGATAAATCGTGCATCTTCACTTTCCTTGTCCTTTTTGCTGTCAAGCGCAAATGATTAGATAGCAGTCACTATGGTACCTGGGCCTCCGCTGAAAACTTAATTAAGTGGATTGATATTACTTTATTCTTAGATCATTTAAGAGCCCACCGACAAACTGCAAATGATAATTGGTCCTGCTTTTAATATCTCAAATAAATTGATATCAAAACTGAAGAATATTTTCTTCCCTCAGTTAATCAAATTTTAAGAAATATAATAATTGTTAACGATTTATCTCTTTTTTTCCGCCAGTTTATAGATTGTATCTCATGAATAATAGTTGCTTAACATATCAGTTTCGAAATCTAATTCCCACTGCAACACTTCGTGTCCAGACTACACCAGCAAGAAAGGCACCCGCATATGATTATATCAGTGGTATTTCGTTGAAAAAGTCCTAAACCTATCGTATGACGGTCAATTTAGTCCTAAACTTTTCAATTTTGTCGATTTAATCCTAAACCTTTTATCGATTTGTCAATGTTGGCTAGAAACACTTAGGTGGATGCCTGGTTAGTGTCAGGCAGCACCGATGTGAACGATTTTTGCAGGTTTTTTAAATTTGCTAAATTTTTCTCTTTTTTTTTTTTCCATTTTTCCATTTTTTTCTTTTGTTATTTTTTCTTCATCCAATTTCTGGCCTGCAAAAGTGAAGGCTTCCGTGCCCTCGCCGGCCCTGGCGATAGCTGGAAATCTGATAAAGGAAAAATTGAAAACGAAAAGAAAGAAACGAAAATGGAAAATAAAGAGAAAAAATCAGAAAATTTTAAAATAATTCCCAAAACTGTCTACATCGGCACGGCCGTGTCATGTAGGATAGTCGACGCTGACTGGATATTCGCGCAAGCATTTTTCGGCCAATGGCATTAGCAAATCGTTAAAAGGTTTATGAATAAATTGGCAAAAAGTTTAAGACTTTTTGGATGATTTTTCCGATTATATGGTAACATCAATATACTTAAAAACATTACAAGAATTGATTATATGTCGCGGGGCCAACTATATATCAATGGAAAAAAAAAACATACATGATAAATATCCTACTTTAAATAACATAAAGATGGCTTTGATTAGTCTGCCATTTCGGGCTCGATAAAAAAAAAAAAGCTGAGAATGCATAATTTTGCCATGTGAATGGTTTATGGAAGTCTCACAGAAAGATCGCAAACGACATTATGTTGGGAAGATGACAAGCTTATCAGACTACTTTTAGGTATGGATTCTCAGAACATGGTTGAATGAATGGCATGATGTTTGGTTCATTCGATAAAGACAATACTTTAGAGGGAATATCGGGGCCCTTTCGAGGCCAAATTGCCACATGCATGACCTGTGACCCTTGTCCCCATGACAAGATAAACATATGATAATGCAGATATCCCTGTCTGAAGAAGAAAGTTATGGGGACATTATTACAGCACATTTCTCATTGATCTTTTTAATATTTTTTCAGAAAATATATATATGAAATATAGCAACGAACAGAAATGTTGGGCCAGGTTACAAGCCCAAAAAGATGTATGTACTATAGAATGTAGGCCTTTACGAATCGAAGATTGGGCTTATGTTTTGGCAGTCATTTTGATTCATTGGGTTGAGGGTAGGGGTGTTCAATTCCTGATCCGATTTTGGTCAAGTCCAATGGAACCGGTCACTTTTTTATTTTTTTCCCCAATACAACGAGAGAGGGTGACAAATTTCAACATATTGACGGAAGCGATGATGAGTGAAGAGTTATTGTGGTGCGATGATAAGGGAAAAGCATTGTACATGGATGTACTTCACATTTTACTAATTTTTTTAAAGAAATAAAAAAAAAGTATATGTAGTCAGTCCGGTTCGATTCCCCCTTGGAACCGGGAACCGGACCCTCGGCCATTGGTTCCACTTTTAGGAATCGAGAACCGGGCCGATACTCCCGGGAACTGGATCAAACCAACCGGTCCAATCCAATCTAGGCTGTTTCCGGTCCGAGCGGTTCGTTTTGCACACCCCTAGTTAAGAGTGTACTTAATATTTGGGAAAATTACCCAAACAGTCCTAAACCTATTGTAATTGTACCAATTCAAACCTAAATATTTTTTTTTGCCAATTTAGTCATAAACCTTTTACAGTTGTATCAATTTAGTCAATTCGGCCAATTTTGGCTGGCCAAAGCTGACGTGGATGACGGCCGGTGCTGACGTGACAATTTTTAAATATTTTTTTGAATTTTTACATTTTCTTTCCTTTCTCTTTCCTTTTTTTTTTCCTTTCTTTCTTCCCCTGGCTGGTCACTAGACAGGCCAAAGGCTAGGGCCAGCAAGATCGACCTCGCTGTCGTGAGCAAGATCGAGCCTCGCCACGGCTATGGGCGAGGTCGGCCATGGCGAGGCTCGATCTCGCCAAATCTAGGCCAGGTTGAGCTCGCCTAGCCGTGGTGAGGTTGAACCTCGTCATGGTTGTGGGAGAGGTTGGCCATGGCGAGGCTTGACCTAGCCAGATCTGGGTGAGGTCGAGCTCACCCAGCCATGGCGAGGCTCGCCCTCTCTATTGCTGGACGAGGGCTAGCATTGTTGGACGAGGGCAGCAACGGCGAGATCGTTGCCCTCGGCAGTGCCGGCGAGGTCAAGAGTTTCTCGTGCTTTTGCAATATGAAATGCCGTGATCGATCAAGATTCTGCCCTAGACCCTCTTGCTCTTCCGAACCCATTTATCATGAGTGAAGAAATCAAACTCAACAGGTCGTCAATTTCTTTCCTTGTTGATCAATTTCTCTCGTTCAACAATGTGGGCATCATCTGATAAATGCGCATCGGGAGTTTGTCCTTACGTTACGGATCATAAGTGAATTTAAAAATAAAAATAGTCACATACAACTTTATGATAAGCTTTCAAAGTAATCCATTTATTTCAACGTGACAACTCTGGGAAGAGCTTAAGACCCATCGACTTAGATCTCCCAAAGCAAATCCAATACAACATGGCCCAAAAGAAAGAAAAGATTAATGAAAGATCCTCACACAATTTTGGCAGAAAACATAAGGTCTAAAATGCGCATCAAGCATAGACGTCGGGATTGGCCAAGAGGTACTCCTCGACGACCTTGTACAAACCCATAGCCTTCTCTTTGCCTTGTTTGATATCCTCTTCCTTAAGCTCCACACCGGTTTTCGTGTGGTACTCACTGGACATCTTGCAGATGCATCCACCATTGCTTGAAGCCTCAAATTTGACCTCGTAGACAACGGATTCAATTTTGTCGAAGATCGCGCCACCTTCGATCAAGGAGTACTTGCAGACGAGGTTGTCCGAGTCGAGAGCATCAATCTTATGTTTCAAACATTTCAAGTGACCACCTGGTATAAATTAAAACTCTTGCTTAGAAACATTACAATTGGAATCTTTAATAAGGGCAGAAGTTCGACTACACACATGACGGATTAAGGATGATAGTTACCGTCGGCAAAGTTAGTCTGCTTGATGCTTCCAACTCCACCATCTCCTTCGATGAACTCAATGCTCTTGATGCCCTGGGGGGCAATCTTGGGGATGAGATTGTGGGAATCAAGGATCAAAGCCTTGAACATTCTCGATGGGGCAATTGGGGTTGCGAATTCTTGGGTAAAGGTAGTGACGTCCATGCTTCTTCCTGAGGGTAAATATCTGGAAATGGAGGAGAAATGTGTGAAGTATTTGCTCGAAGGTAGAAAGAAGACTGTTGAGTTTGTTGTGAAGATGTTGAGTAACAACTTGATGGGTATTTGTAGATTGTAGGAGACGGGTGTGTAATGGTTTAGTTGTCTTCGCTGACGAAGAATTCTAAGTTCGATCCATCCGTAGCACTCCACTTTCGACTGGCCCCACTTCTAGATGAAAGAACATATATGTTCACATTATAGGAGTTGACCGCCGAAGTACGGAAAATTATTTAGCACATCATTTAAAACTCCCAATTTGCATAGATGGACTTTTCTTCGCATCATAGCTAGAAGTAGCCTCACATGCCGGAGAAGTTAATTGGGTGCATATGGTAGAGTTGGTCCAGTGCATATCATCCGTCGGATCATGTGGTTCCCGTGAGGGATCCACGAGTTCCAATGAATCCCATGCGCTGGGCCTTTGTGTCGTGGACGTCGCTACTAATTTTCCTACATGTCATTCGATATCTGGTGCATATGCTTTGATTTTTAGTTCCTCGGTGTCACTATTTTCCGGTCCTGCCCCGCCTTATGCCCATCCCTTAGTTCGAAGGTTTGGGGTCATTCCCACCTTGTATCCTATATCATGTACACTGTGCAGGGTGTCCCGTAGAAAGATTGAAGGTGTACCCTGTACAATACTTAAGTAATTACTACCCCATGCATTAGAAATTGGTAATCCTTAACAATCCTCTGTACATCCGTCCCAATCCAAAGTGTCATAACACATAGACACGTAAAAGTTTTCAATTGTATAGGGACCGTTTATGCGGAAGTTGAAATAAAAATAATTCTCCACTTGTTTCGAGAAAAATGTGACATTTCTGAAAAATATTTTCTAAGAAGTCATTTTTCAAGACATTATTTTCCCATATTTGGTTGAAACTTGAAAATTAACTAGAAAATGTTTTCTGCCGTTTGGTATGAAAAATCTAATATGATTTTTTTGGGGAAAATTATAAAAAAATTTGAATTTTTAATTATTTTTTCCCTCATTTTCTTTTTCTTTCTTCCTTAGCTGGTCATCAGCTGTCGGGACAAGCTCGCTCGATACGGGGAGCTCAACCTTGCCAGCCTCGAACAAGCTAAAGCCTCACCAGCCTCGAGCGAGCTCCGGCGAGCTCGAGTTTTGCTGGATCTGGTGAGGTAAAGATCTTCCTCTATTGTATGTCGCGGATGAGGGCCTTCTTGCCTTTCTCGAATCAATAATTGACGAACTCTCACCAATCCGGCACTACCTTTCTGAATCCCTAGAAGCCAATCGATTATGATCATCGACATGAATAAGATTTCGTAGAAATCGTATCCAAAACCATGCAAAATCGCATTTTAGGAATTGTAATTGTAGACTTATGTATGTGTTTAGCTGACAGAACGAAGCTGGCGAAATTGTTGTGCTTGAAATACTTGGGGAGCAAATACTTCGCATTTTCCGCTGGCCGCCACACAATGAACGTCGTCTCGTCCTCATTCCACGAAATCAAATTGTCCATCGCTGGATTGTCCACGAGCTGGTAAGTCTTGGTGAGTAACGGTGTCAAAGCCTTGCCCAAGGCTGGCGAGCTTGTCCCTTGCCTGAAGCCAGTCGAACTCTGGAGGCAGAGGAACAAGGTGAGGGAGAAAGAGGAACTTTGGAGGCGGAGAGATGGAGGAGGAGGACGAACTCTGGAGCCAGAGAGAGACGAGGAACACGTAGGCTGAGAGGCGAAGGAGGAACTCCAGAGTCGGAGAGAGATGAGGAGTGTACAAGCGAGAAGAGGAAGGTGAAGGAGTGCACAGGCGAGAGGAGGAAAGTGAAGGAGTACAGTCCACAGAGTAGAACGTGCTGGGTTTGGGTAAAAGAAAGAGAAGGGAAAATGATTTCCTCTTTCATTTATCTTACTTTTGAAGGTGTTCTTTTTCATTGATCGAAAATGTTTTCCTTGATTAATTTATTTTCTGTGAACCAAATACTGAAAAATCCAGAAATTTTTTTCCTGAAATTTTTTTTTTGAAATAAACGGAGCCTAAATTTGGATTTCAACACATGTTGACTCGTTGAATTCTTAAGTAATCAGTAACAGTGCTCGATCTGTTGTCGTTTTACTTCTGGGCCTTGTAATGGGTCCATCACTAACTAAATCAATGTATACATCTTGAGCTGGATGATATGTTGATTTGAATGATCGGGACATTAATCAAGGAAACATGAAAGTTAAAACGTGAAGAGTCACTGTTCACTATTCACTTTGATCCGATATCAGATCAATTTACTCATAGAACATCAACCATTTCAATGGAAATTTATTCAATCACACCCAAAATTACAGTTCAATCGCACTCAAAATTACAATAGATCACACTTGCACATCCCTTATAGTGACAGATAAGGGAAATTAGGGCAAAATGACGCATGACGGAAACGGCACAAGAAGTTGCTATTTAAGCATAGACATCGGGATTCGCCAACAGGTACTCTTCAACAACTTTGTAGAGTCCCATAGCCTTTTCTTTGCCTTGTTTGATATCTTCTTCCTTGAGCTCCACATCACCCTTAGTGTGGTATTCACTGGTCATCTTACATACGCATCCACTGTCGCTCGAAGCCAAGAATTTAACCTCGTAGGCAACCGATTCGATCTTGTTGAAGACCACGTCACCTTCGATCAGAGTGTACTTGCAGACCAAGTTCTCGGTGTCAAGAGCGTCAATTCTGTGCTTCAAGAACTTCAAGTGACCACCTATAATCCCACAGAAAAACCACATAACATTATATAGGATGTACACAAAAAAAAAGAGACATTCATATGATTGTGAAACGAATGAGACTCTCCGCGCATCATTTGATATGTAAACTAACCTTCGGCGAAGTTGGTGACCTTGATGCTTCCGGCTCCTCCATCTCCTTCGACGAACTCGATGCTCTTGATACCCTGAGGGGCAATCTTGGGAATTAGGTTGTGCGAATCAAGAATCAAAGCCTCGAACATTCTCGATGGAGCAATGGGGGTGGTGAATTCTTGGGCATATGTGGCGACACCCATGTTTTTGTCTTGGGAGAGGAAAGAGATTTGAACTAGAGTTTGGATAGAATGTGAAGAAATATGTGCGAGTGCTTCTTACTAGTGCAAGAACTTGAGTTTCATGCAGAAGATGAAGAACCAGGGTGCTATTTATAGACTCTCGAAAGGGGGCTTACCTTTTAGGGCCTTCACATGCACGTTAAAGAGAGTTCGGAGCACTCCATGGTGTACTGACCGACCAAGACTTTGTTTTTCTTCTTCTTTTTTTTTTTTTTTTTTTTAATTTCTTGACAGTCTTCTCTTCATTGGCATTGACCCGCCATTTTCTAGAGAGTCACAACACAAGGGGAGAAAAATAGCCCCTTCCCACTTGGCAGCGACTTGGACCGAACTATCGACTTAACTACTACGTCAACGACACAAAATTCTTGAATTGCAATTGGCAAGATGGTACCAATTTTATTTTTGGGTTAGGAAGCTGCTCCACGTAGAAGAGGAAAAGGAGAAATAAGAATTTGGAAGTAATTCGTAAAAAGTCGGATGAAATTCCATGCATGTTATAAGATTAGTATTGACAGAATACCGGTGGGTGAATTGACGGCCATAAGCGACCTCAGATCTGAGGTTATATGATAAGAAAATTTAAAATTTAAAATTTATATTAGTAATATGTTAGATAAGGATAACCATATCATCTTTATATCTTACATTAGGATCAAACTATAATTATGACAGAGAGAATATATTTTTATAGTAAGGTCTGAATATCAAAAAGCATTTTCTGTCTCACTATCATGTACACCACCAAACAATTGAAAGCCAGTCATTTTCCTTGAAAAGTGACTTCAAGAAAAACATTTTCCTCTATTAAGAATTATTTGTTTTGTGAAATAAATGCACCAAAGTTTAACTTACTATTTGAAATTAATTAACCTAAAAAAATAGTTAACCCCAAGTCAAGATAAGAAAAATCATGCACTTTTTCTTTCCTTGTCCTTCTAGCTACCACATGTAACTGATTAAGACAACAATCACTATGGTACCTGGACCTTGGTTGAAAACTCAATTAAGTGGTTTGATTTACTTAATTCTTAGATCATGTAAAAGCCTACCGACAAACTGCATGATAACTTCTATATCTCGTGTAGCAGTTTAGGTTTTTAAAACATTTGTGGTCGAGTATTGATAATCTGAAAAGTATTAGAAAAAAAACTAAATTATATGTCGGGAGGCTAACTATATATTAATAGACAAAAAACAACATAGGTAATAAATATGCTACTTTAAAATAACTTAAGACCGTGTTGAAGTCTGCCATTTCGGACTTCATAAAAAAATCGGTCGAGCATACATAATTTTGTCATGTGATGGTTCATGAAAGTCTCACAGAGACATCGTAACCACTTCATGTTGGGAAGATGACAAGCTTTATCAGACAACTTTTAGGTATGGATTCATAGGATATGGTCCAATATGAATGGCATGATGTTTGATTTTATTCGATGAAGACAAACTTTAGAGGGAATACCTGTACTGGATTTGTATACTTGTGCCTATTGGGACATAAACATATATAATACATATATCTGTCTCTGAAAAAGCAAGTTACGGGTAGGAGTGTCAAAAATACCCAAACCGAACTGAAATTTTTGCGTGTCGGGTTCCTTCTTATTTGGGTAATAGATAAACAAATGGGTACATAAACAGTTTCAGTTCGGGACAGAACCGAATTGAAACACTTTAAACCATACATTGTTTTCCTCCTAGAGAACGCCCTGCATGAAAGTCTCCTTCACCGTTGTCATTTCCACCTCGACCCGACCCGACCTGTGTTTTCGGTTATGGTTTGGGTTGCGAACACAAAAATACCAAATACGTCCGGGTCGGGTATCATGAAAACATGAACCGATCCGAACTGTTGGCATCCCTAGTTACCGGGACATTATTACAACACTTCTCTCATGAATTTTTAATCTTTTTTAGCTAAAAAGCCGAGAAAGGTATATGAATTCTGAATTGAGAGTAGGAATCTAGGAAAGAACAGAAATGTTGGGCCAGGTTAAGACCCCGAAAAGATATATATTCTATAGAATTTAAGCCTTTACAAATTGAAGATCGGGGTTATATTTTGGCAATCACTCGACTCATTTGGTTGAGGCTATACTTAAAAGTTGAAATTTGTCGTGACAATCGATAGAAGTAGGTTAATTATTAGAAAAATTTGGCAAACCGGAATAAACAATTTACCGGTCCTTTTTTTTTCTACTAAAAATTGAAATTTGGATTTGCCAAAAGATACTTCTCAACCACTTAGCACAATCCCATCGCTTTGTTTTTGCCCTATCATATGTCTTTTTATTGAGATGCACATATCAGTTTTGTTAGAAAAATTTCACATCAATAAACTGATGTGGTGTGGAGCAATTAAATAATCTAATTGGCCCCCAACTTATTTACTCTAACTTTTGAGTGAATGTGAGTCGAATTGGATATGTTCCCCTGCTTGGAGTTGAGCTCTCACCAGCTGATCTTTTGGGTGAAAATAGTAGACTTCTATTGCGCATCCAAACAAGCGGTATAAGATCGATGGTTGATTGGTTGGTCTCCAATGTGTATCGGTATCCAGGACTTGATAAGGAATCTCGCATCTTCATGGTTGTCGAGTGCGCGTGGAGATTGTGGATGAAAGACGTGTTTGCACTGATTGGTGATGATTGGAGATTCGAGTTGGCATAATGTTGGAGCTGAAAGGTATCCAAATTATAGGTATGCTCTCATACCTAAAGCTGATCTGACATATAAGGTTATTAATTTTGTTTTGTGTTACCTCATTTTCGCTGCAAGTTCCCATTTGTTCTGGAATATGGTTCTAAATTTCTCTCACTGCGGATCAATAGCTCTCAATCAACAATTTGGGCATCTTCTGATAAATGCTTGTTGGGAGTTTGGCTCTAAACTTGACGGATCATAAGTGAATTCAAAAATAAAAGTAGTCACATAAAACTTTATTATTACTTCCCAAAGAAATTTATTTATTCCGATTGATAAATTCCCGAAGAGCTTAGGACCCATGGCTTGGATCTCCCAAGGCAAACCATACAACATGGCGCAAAAAGGAAAGATTAATGAAAAATCCTCACAGAGTTTTTTGCCGAAAACAATAGGTCTAATTAAAAGGCGTGTGACATTCCGAATTTCGACCCATTTTTGGGATTTATAAAATGTGTATTTCGTCAGTGCGCTTATAGTTCAATCTCGCCCGGAACTGATCACTTTTGGGTTATTTTTAAATTAGAGATTTCGCTAGAATCGCATCAATGCTCTTGATGCCCCGGGGGTGATCTTGGGGATGCGACTGTGGGATTCGAGAATCAAAGCCTTGAACATTCTTGATGGGGCAATCGCGATTGTGAATTCTTGGGTAAAGGTAGTGACGCCCATGCTTGTTCTTGAGAGTAAAGATCTGGAAATGGAGGAGTAATGTGTAAAAGATTGGCTTGAAGGTAGAAGAAGACTGTTGAGTTTGCTGTGAAGATGTTGAGCAACAACTTGATGGGTATTTATAGATTGTAGGAGATGTGTGTGTAATGGTTTAGTTGTCTTCGCTGACGAAGAATTCTAAGTTCGATCTATTCGTAGTACTCCACTTTCGGCTGGCCCCACTTCTAGATGAAAGAACATACATGTTCACATTTTGAGAGACTGACAAAAGTCTATAATTCTAAACAAAATAGTCTTCAAATGAAGCATACCTTTCATTGACCGCCGTAGTACGGAAAATCCCAACATCATCTCTTTTCTAGAAAACGTTATACGTTTTTTTTTTCCTTTTACCTTTTGCCCATATGATCGTTCGGTCCAGAGATTCTACAATTAGCAATTGTTCTTTTGAATCCATTTTAAGGATGATCTACCTTGTATATATTGCACATTTATGTGTTATTACCCATGAAATATCATGAATGATCCATGACCTCGCTTGAAAATGATTCCCTAATAAAGAATTTTCCAGCATCAGCTAATCATGATAGTGGTGATAACATGGACCATTCAATTTATATTCTCCAATACACTTGATTGTGCGTACGCTTCGTTTAATTTTCATCTTCGAATCATCCAGATCAATAAGAGGATAATTCTAACATTAACCATAGTGTGATTCGACGTTGATATCACGTTAGTCAAAGTATCATTGATGGATCGACCTCAGACCGCCCCACTTTTTAAAAGAACTAAAAGGATTAATAATAATAAAATTACATAGTGGCCACGCATAAGGTTTTTCCTAAATGATTGCGAACCTAAAGATTAGATAACGGCCGGTACATATTCGTGATAGGTTCACTTTTGACCTGTTCCATGCATCAAAACAATAAGAGAGAACAGAATGCGTTTTGAATTTTGATTGAGATAAAAACAATAAATAGTGTTATTAAGTAAATGTGATTGCTGATTCTTGATGTATGTTATGAGTTTCTCCTTTCTTGAAGACACCTAAAACTAATATCTTAGCATTTTTCACTTAATATAAAAATTAATCTTTTTAGAAATCTTGAGTCCTTACTTTATATAATTACTGTTGCTATGAAGAGATATATGTTTCCTTAGTCATAGAAAGATCATTAGAATAATCTTTGTTTGGTGTAATTATAAGAAATAATCTAGATAATTTGTGATTAACTTGTATAAAAAAGTATAAAAGATAATATTTTGAAAAAATAATAGAAAAAATTACAAAAAGAATCAAGATACTTTGCTTCCCATATTAAATATTTTCCTCATATTTCAAAACCTACAATTACTATAATCATTTTCTGCATTGAACTTCAAGTTGCATATACCATCCATATATAATATATCAAGTTACCATTATATCTCTCAAATTACTCACACCCCAACCCAAAAATATATAGATATATCTTCCTCCTTAACCGGACTGACTCAAACCATGGACCCATTTTTGGTCTCCCTATCATGCGTGCCGACGCCTAGATCGAGGTTGCCAGTAGCCATGGCTGAGCTCTCTCATAGAGGATCGCGTGGCCAGTCACAGCCCTTGTCGGCGGCTGAGTCGGGCTGCGATGGCAGGGTCGGTGTCAGGCTACAACAATTTGTTGTGGA